CCAGGGCCTGCCCCAGCAGTCCTGGCCCTGCCCTGTTCCATGAGTCCTGGGTTCAGCTTCCCACAGGAGCTGGAAATGGCACAGGGGGAAGAGCAGGGACCCCCTGCACCTGCCCGATGCCAGGGCAGAGGGAGCTCATCAGTTTTCCTTTTCTCATCAGGCTACCATCATGGGAGAGCGACACTGCATTCGATGAGCTGGGAGAGAGACACAGGCACTGTGATGCCAGTGAGTGCCTTTGTCCAGGAGGCAGGCAGGAGGCAGAGGAGGAGGGGTAAGTTGCCGAAGCTGCACCCCGGGGCTCTGCAGGGCTTGAAGCAGAAGGACCCAGGAGAAGAGCTCAGTCAGATAATCCCATGCTTTGGACACTTTGTCCTCACCTCCATGAACCCGTTTGCTTCCCCAGGCCCTGGCAACTGCTCCTGTGCTCCTCCTGTGCTGCCGAGGGCACCCACAGACACTGCTCTGGCCTGAAGGACAGTATAACCAGCTGGGAATGTGACGGCTGTGCTCGCCAGAGCACCCACAGACACCGCTGTGGCACGACAGTCTCCACGAACAACTGTGATTGTGAGAGCTGTGCTGAGTATCTCACATGTAAGAAGCAAAGCACCTGAATGCCCCTGGGTCAGGTGCCCCTGGGCCTGGCAATGCGTGCCCAGGGTGGTCTTGGCAGAGCTTGTCAGCTCCAGGAGGGTTGGGGGCACTGCTCTGGCTTATTCTGCCTTGGGCCTGGGGCGATCTTGACCTTCCTTGCTTCCCCTTACAGCCTCCGGTGAATTCTCAATCCTTGCTAGACTCATGGACGAGTCTCCTGCTGTGTCAACAGAACACGAGACCATCACCCCCAGCACCAGCCAACAGGCAGCATCAGAGCAGTCTCTGGAATCTCCCTCAGAGGAGATGAGCAGCCCCAGCCTCTATAGTCAGGTAACATCAAGGCCATCCCACAGCAACATCCCAGAAACTGAGGACAGCAACTGCTCTCGCAGTCGGAGGCCTGAGCGCCGGCAAAACCGCACCCGCCGGCAAAGTCGGCCTCAAACTCCACAACTTCGGTCCAGAAGTCCCCGTGACAGCAGCCATGTGCCGGAACCAACTGCTGCGAGGTGCAGGCCCAGGCACAGACAGTCGGGGACATCCCGCAGGCGAAGACGCTCTCGCCGGCAAAGTCGTCCCCAGAATCCACACCTTCGGGACCCGAGTCCCTATGACAGGAGATGTTCGCCACACCTCCGGTCCCCGAGTCCCCATGACAGGATCTGTTTGCCACCACCACCAAGTCCTCGGAGGCGCAGCCGCAGCGAGGAGGCATCAGAGACATCCAGCAACCGAAACCGCTCCCGCCAGCAACGTCGGCCCCAAAATCCACACCTTCGGTCCAGAAGTCGACGTCACAGGAGCCATGTGAGAACAGCAAGGGCTGAGAGCTGCACCTCCACCCAGGAAGCATCAGAGACATCCCACAGCCGAAACCGCTCCCGCCAGCAACGTCGGCCGCAAAATCCACAACTTCGGTCCAGAAGTCGCCGTGACAGGAGCCACGTCCCAGCACCAAGTACTGGGAGGCGCAGGCCCAGCCAGGAAGAATCAGGGACATCCCGCAGACGAAATAGCTCCCGCCGCCAAAGTCGGACCTCAAATCCATCTGGCCAGTCCAGAAACCGCAATGACAGGAACTGCACGCCAGCACGGAGTGCTGGGAGGCGAAACTCAAGGGAGACAGCAACCACGACTTCCCAAAGGCAACAGCGCTCCCGCCAGCAGCGTCGGACCTCAAATTCATCCAGCGGATCCAGAAGTCGCCGTGATGGGAGGCGTGATAGAGCACCCAGTGCTGGGAGTCCCACTCACCGCTCAGACGGTGAGACAGGGACTCACCACTGACACATCCCACGTCAGAAAGGAAGGAGGAGGCCCCCCAAGGGAGGGAGCCAGGTGAGAGCAAAGTGCCCCTCCTGCAACCTGGCAAAGGGGCTGTCAGGGTGGCCAGCGTGGGGCTGGGAGCGGTGGCAGGGGGAGGTAGGAGCTGTCCAGGCATCCCGGGACTGGGACCCTCTTTTCCAAAGCACTGGGGTTCCCCTTGGCCAGGTGCCAGGCAGGGGCTGGCGGTGGGTGCCCAGGGTGGGTTTGGCAGAGCCTGTCTGCTCCAGGAGCACTGGCAGTACTGCTCTGGCCTATCCTGCCCTGGGTCTGAGGTGGCCTTGACATTCCTGCTTCCCCTTACAGCCTCCAAAGATGACTTGGAGCTTGCTGGCCTCAGCATGGCCTGACTGTCAGGACTGGAGCCTTCTGATGGCTCCAGAGAACCC